GCCTGGTACGATACGCCAGTGCGCAAAGCGAGTGCTCTGACTAAGTGAATCGAGCCCAAAACCCCTATTAGTGAAAATGGATACGACAAATATCCTAAAATGAATTAACTCTCCTTTTTATTAAAAAAGCCCCTTTTTTAATCCGTAATAACTATTATGATAAAACGTATTTAGTATAAAAGACACCACAACACATTGTTGATTTATAAACTTAAATCTATAATATATATTAGTTTCTTCTTATTAACCCTAATCCTGTAAAGTATAAAAGCCCTTTGATTTCTTTTTACTAACAGAAATGTATAAACATAAAACTATAAACTATTTTAAGCTTTCGCTCAAAGAATAAAAAAATGCCCTGTTATTTAGATACTATTATAAAAATTAAATATGTCAAACAAAATAAAACAAAAGATGCAAAATCAATTTCAGTATGGGCTATCGGGATGTATCCTGTAGGACATAAAGATAAAGAAATAGAAGTTGTTTTGTATGTACTATGCTGTTTTATTGAACAGACCCTAAAACACAAGTTATTTTTAGAAGAGACGAATATTATTCTGTTGGTAGAAAAATCGTATCTCATAGCTATGCCGGAAGTATTAGACCAAAGGTAATAATGGAACATATACAATATATAACATGTACTTATATTATAACAAATTGTAATTTATTAACATCAATTATAATAAATTGACAATACAAATCATCGATACTATACTAAGATGTCCGTCATAACCTCAACTCACTTAACTATTAGTGATAGAAATTCTGAATCAAACAAATACCCTTCAAAAGTATCTTTAATTTGATATCTGAAGGAAAAACTAACTGCTATTGAAAATACCGATGATTTTGTATTTGAAATGCTTATATTTGACTATATTACTCAAGAATATGAATATACAGTCTACGTAGTTCTCCCACATTCTAACCCACAATTTGAACATCTTAAAATAACCATTTAGCCACAAGAATCGATTATCTTTGTAGTTGGCCAAATGGAAATTATAGATAATAAGTTCTATGTTAATGCAAAAGATATTAACTATATTACTGTTAAAAAAAAAATTCTGAAACAGATTACTTCCAATCTCAATCAACTTCAACTCACCCAACAAGATCCAAACTTTTAAACATTTACCAAAACATTACTAAAAATTTAAAAGATACATCTGTAACCCAAACACCACCTGCAACAACTTCGAGTGATATTGAAAGTGAATCTTCGGTAAAACATAGAAGATCTAAAGAAACTGAGCAACCTATTGACATGGAATTTGCCAATACTAATGATTACAAATCTGAAACCAATAAAACTATATTTACTAAACCTGATCAAAAAGAATCTGAAAAACCAACTAAGAAAAATAAATCTCAAAAAAATACTGTACGCAATCAAACAAAAAGTAAAAAATGTCCCATTAGATCTAAATGTAATACAAAAAATCCACAATATTCAACCATAGTTATCAAATCTGACTAAGAATAAACTCAATCTACTTATATATTTACTCTTTATAACACTGCCTTTCTCTTATTTACTATTTCTATTATACAAGTCATTTTCTATATTTATTAATATTACTACTTGATAAATTTATTTCTCTAATTATAATGACCCTTTATATAAAGTTATTCTTCAACTTTTATTTCAAATAAATATATTTGTTATTTTACAATTCAAAATAATTTACAAAGATTATATTTAAAATAAATAATCTGTATCAGACTAAAAAAAAAAAATTGTCTACAATTAACATATCTATGTACCTATTTTTTTTAAGCACTTTCCTTAACAAATTTATTAAATCACCTAATCAACAAAATAAATATGACAAATTTGAACGTATCGCTCCAATTAATTATAATTATCAAATATCAGCTCCATTATTAGCACATTATGCTTAAAGAATTAATTCTATATTAAAAATAATTACAAAAAAATGGGTGGTACTTCGTGCCACCTGTAACACTTGTAATATATAATTAAATTGATCGCTCAATCTATCTATTATAAGACTGTATTGTATGTCAAGCTTCTGCATAAGTGTCGTTCTTGATCTTTTTATGCTTGATTTGAAATGTACCACATTAATTTGTTTACTCTCTAAATTCTGTACGTATGTTGAGAAGGGTAAATTTGATCCCTAATATCGAAATATGCTCTCACAGATATCTATCCACACTAAACTAATCCAAAATCAACACTACAACGGAAAAACCCTATTACCCTAATGGTGGAAGGCATGAAAGAGAGCATGGAAAGACTTGATCCAAGTTATTAGGGCTAAATAGAGCTCTAGACTATGTTACGAAGCTCTAATTTGGGATTTATGGGATTAAACTATTAATAATAGATAAATTTGGCTTATTGGGAAGGTAATTAACAAAATGTTTAAGGATGGATAATAGACTCTTAGTTGAGTCGAACTCTACTGAGTGTTAAACTCTAGTGAATTGTTGTTTATTAGAGCAAAAAGTTAGTGCTTTTATAGCTTTCACGCTTAAGAAAATACAACAGTTTTTCTAATTTTAAATTATGACTTCACTTTGCCAAGTCTTGAATATTTTAATATTTTAAGGAACGCCAAATGTTCAAATGTCCAAATGTTCAAATGTCCAAATGTTCAAATGTCCAAATGTCCGCGAAGATCCAAAATACAGCAAGGATGTTCAGTTACAATTACTAGTTCTCAACCTGCTATGCTAATTCTAATCTAATTTACTAAAAAGGTAACTTCAAAGCCTAATACAAAATACATAATAAGAAAAATAAATAAATATACTAAGAGTACCCATTAACCCTTCATAATGTATATATATACACGTCATACAAGTATATAAACATCTGTACTTCCAATACTTAAATAAATAGACAAGTAAAAGTATTGTGTTAAAGCAGGGAGCTGCAAAACAGGAAAAAGATTAGATAATAGTAAAAAAAGAAAAAAAAAGAAAATAAATTAAGTAAGATAGCTTACTATAAAGAAGCCAAGAAGATACAAAGTTGAAGTAAGTAAGATGAAAAAATCCGAAATGATTATTAGATTCATACATGTACTAAATTAGAATAAATAAAAATAAAGTCAATTGCGTATCTTGAATACTTTGACAAACTATATTTTTTAAATATAAAATCTAAAATTGAGTTATATAGATTCTTTCAAGAGCTATTGTAAAAATTCAGTTATATAGCATGTAATTAAGGTTAACTTAGCTTTGTATTAGAATTATTGTAAATTTTTATCATGAGTTACTGTATAAAGTATACTATTTATCCTGGTAAAAATAGTATGTAATTAAGGTTAAGTTAGTTTGCACTGGAATTGTCATAAAATTGAGTTAGTTTGTATTAAATTATTGTGATCTCTATTATGAATTATTATAAAAATTTAGATAAAAATTTATTAATACCAGTAATATATTGTATGTAGTTAAAGGAATAGAATTATATAATTCTACTGAGTTACTGTAAAAAACCTGCTATTCTGGTAATACATAGTGTATAGTTGATTTAGTTTGTATTGGAATCATAATTTTTATTAAGAGTTACTATAAAAATTTTGTTACAAAACTTAGTCAAAGTTAAGTTTGTGTTAAATTTATATTAAGTATTGCAGAACTTACTTATTTTGATAGCAACTGCATATATTGGAGTTGGCTTGCAGTAGTATTAATGTAAAAATCCAATACAAGCCTACTTGATACTACAGTATACATAGCATGCAGTTAAGGTTGAGTTATTGCCATAAAGCACTTGTTACAGAACACTTACTATTTCAGAGATCACAGTATATAGTTAAGGGTTGAATTAGTTTGCATTGAATTATCATGAATTACTATAAAAAATTCTGTTGCAAAACTTACTCATTATTCTAGTGAAGCACAGTATATAGTTAAAGTCTTTGTGAGTTATTGTTAAAAATTTCATTATGGAACTTGCTTACTAACACTAATTTAAAACAAATTGGTTAAGATTGGTTGAATTTCTATTGCAATAAATTTTGTACAAAACTTTTATTCCAGTAACACAATATAGGATTTAGTTGGGTTAGAAATGGGTTTCATGTGTACGCATAATTCAGAATCAAACATATTTTATTCTATCTAAATTTATATAGGAAATTTAAAGTATATTTAATTTAAACAATGGTGTATAATATCAGGCAAAATTAAGAAATAGGAATGCAGAAGGTTTGAAAAATTCCAAAAAGAAACGAATAAACATAAAGTTGAGAAGAATCAGAAAAGTTTTGCCAAATATCCAATATTTTCTGGAAAGAAAATATAAAATCAATAAAATTATATTATGTGATATTATGCGTATTTATATAACATGCGCATTAATTTGGATGTTATTATAAAGTGTGCATTTTTCTTATATCTAGTTAGGGTTGAATAAAGGAAACTATTGTAAAAATTCTGTTACAGGTTATTGTAAAAATTTATGCTACAAAACTTATTATACATTTATTAATATCCTTAATTATAAATAACATATATTAGTTAATTTTTAAAAATTATAAGCAACAACAGAGTATTATAAGTAACAACAGAGTAATATAAGAGACCAAAAATTTACAGTAGTAACTTATACACATGTGATTTTTAATTAAAAAATTATCGATTTTAATATTGATGATCAATTTATAACAAAATAATTCAAATGATCGAAGTGCAGAAATGTTGCAATAATTGAAGATAATTACAAGAATGTTGTAATTTTTATATATATCTATGTAAATTTTCTCATGTTCAGATCACATTTTTCAAATATAACCAATAAAAAATGTAAGTACACAAGGGTTATAAAGATTATGCCAAAATTCCATAATAGTAATTTTATTATTTTTGTTTATAAAAAATACAATTGGATTTTCCACATTTCAGATAACATTTTTAGATCTAACCCAATCAAAAATGTTAAAGTATACAACACAAAATTAAAAGAGAAATGATCATTAAATTCTTCGCTATGATCTTTTATTTTGGCCTTTGACGATCTGTGATTATCAATTAATCAGGCTGGCAAAAATTCTAAACAGAAAAAAAAGAAAAAGAGATAAATAATATAAACAGGTATAATATAATATAATAAACTATATGATTTTTACACAAAAATAAAAAAGTTTGTACAATTGTAGCTTTTTTACTATCTTGCAAAAGCAAGAGCAACTGCAAGCACAACATCAATATCAATAGCAAGCACAAGAGTATAAACTATATACAATACTTTCAAGTTTGTGATATAGCCAATTTCTTTTTCTAGAGATTTTTTTACTATAAATAGAGGATAGTATTAGCTAATTCAAGTGGGATATATATATTTAGAAAAAATATGTTTCACAAACTTGAAATCGCTGCACAAGGGTGTTAATATTAGATACCTGATACTGTACATATATACATACATACTGTACATACCTTCAATACTTATATAAATAAGGTAGCTGCGCAATATCATTGCATAAAACCAGGAACAGAAAAGTATTTAGATATTAAGTTTAAAATTTTAAGTTAACTTGAATTAGGATTTTGCGATAATTGATCTGATATATTAAATTTAGATCATGTACACAATTATGGATATTAGTCAGTTCAACTAAAATTGATCTTGCGCTCTGTCATAGAACTGGGCCAGTCTGATTTTTTATAACGGTCAGCCTAATATAGTATAAAATTATTTTAACACATATAGCCTAATTTTTTGTATTTTGTTGGGGTTAGAATGTAAGCAGGGCACTATGCATCTTAAATTCAGATAAGACTAAAATTTATAAACAATACTTTGTATATAAATTTTAGAAAATCAAGTTTTAAGAATCATAATCAGCACAAATAATAGATTATTTAAAAATTTCGATTAAAAATTTATATTAATTGAATTGACTTGAATAAAAGATTGCTTATAGTTCAAATTAGCACAGAAAATAAACTAATAAATCTAATAAGTGTATACATTATTTTCGAATACTCTAATTAGCAAATTATTTTGCACTTACCTGTTAAATTTATAGTTTTCTAAATAAGTAAATTAATGTGAAATAGCAGATAATTTATAACCTTCCTGAGATAGAGTAACTAAAGAGCAGCAAAAATTTTTTTAAATATTGAATAAATTTTACATTGCAAAAATTACATTTTTAAATATATTTAAAAAAGCTTAAAATAAGCAATATAAGATTATACTCTTTATTAGATAATTAACAATAGCATAATTACAAATTTGTTATTAATAATATAATCAATGAACCTAATACAAAAAAAAATTATATTCAATCATGTCTTCATAATGATGTTATTGAGAAATACCTTGGCTCTGAACGATTACCATATAAAGTCAGACTTATATATTTATTATAAACTTAGACAAATTATTTTTTAAATGCTATATTCATTAAAAGTAACAAATATAATATCTGTATGTTAAAAAATCAGTATAGGTGTATTATTTTCAATAAATTTAGTTTCTGTCTGACTATT